CCACCCCTCCATCCCCCAGCCTGTGCTGATACCGGGGGTTGCCCCCACCCAGGTGCAGGACCCTGCCCTTGGCCTCGTTGAACCCTATAAGGTTCACCCAGGGCCACCTCTCCAGCCCGTCCAGGTCCCTCTGGATGCCATCCCGTCCCTCAGGTGTGTCCATGCACCGCTCAGCTTGGTGCCATCTGCAAACTTGCTGAGGGTGCACTCGATCCCGCTGTCTGTGTCACTGATGAAGATACTGAGCAGCACCGGCCCCAGCAGGTTGGTGAAGCCAGCCTCCTGCTCTCACAGCCAACATGTCAGACTCCTCTTTGGAAACTCAAGCTCCCCTTGTGCTCCTTACGGGACACTCAGTTCAGAATCTCACTCCTCTACTCAGTGAGAGCCTTCTGCTAATTTTCAGTGTGAAGGTGCTCGTGGACAGTTTATACCCAGCCGTTCTTGTACAAACATCACACTGCACTTTAAACAGAGCTTTCCCCACCCTGGCGTCTCTCTTCTCTGCTGTATTTATTCTTCCTGAGCTTTTGGCTTGTTAGGTCAAAAAAAAAAAAAAAAAAAAAAAAAAAAAGCTTTTTTTCTTGCCTCCAGCTGGATTTGCATCAGGCTTCCTACAGTGGAAGTCTTGAAGTCTGATGATACCAAGACAGCAGAGAGGAAAGCAGACAGCTGAAGCAAAGTAGTCAGTACAGCACGCAGCATTAAATATATCTTGAAGAAATAACAGACCTTGGGAGCATTTTGTCTCTTTTCCCCTGAGATCGCACTGGGTTAAGTTGTCTTTATGCTAAGGCTATGCCAGAAGAAGTTAGCTTCTGCATACTGAAAATAACTGGAGGTGCTGAAGTCCATTCTTGCAGTCACACAGGCATTTGTTATTCAAAACAAACAGTCCGCTCGCCTTGGTTAACCATTAAGAGTTTAAATTAAGACACTTTCCTCTTCCATTGAAAGATGTGGCGAGTTATTTAAGAGAGACAGTGTCTGTATTCCTGCTAATGCAGGAATATTGCTGTATCGCCGCATGGGAGCCAGTCACCTGATGCTGAAACCAATCTAAGTTTTACTCCAAACCACCTGGAGAAGACGGTACAAGGATCCTAGCTACCAGCCTTCAAGAGGCACCCACTTTTCACTGTGCCTTCAGAGGGCAGTGGAGATATTGCACTTGGGAACTACCCCTGCTCCTACCGGGCAGCTTGCTGTTTAGGGCTGTTTTGTTGGTTTTAAGGGTAAAGGTTGACTATTTTGGCACTCAGGACTGAGGCATCACAACAGTACTTTGGAAAAGGGATTTGTGGCACAAGCAGAACGCAGGCTTTGAGGTGGAGGCACAAGCTACGCCTTGCTGTGTGAGCGCGCACCATACCCCAGCATTCAGCAATAAAGCATTCGCGTGAAAGGTCCCTCTGCCTGGCTGATGAGGTTTACTGTGAACATCCCCCAGGCTCCTTGGGAGGGGGAAGCAGATGAGACGGACGAGGCAAGCCTTGCAAATCTTCAGGTGGCAGTTCCCAAAGCAATGCTGATAAATACAGCAGAAGGGCAAGATGTTGCTTCCAAAGCAAAGAAGGCCAAGAACTTCATTTTGAGAAAGGAAGATCAAAGCAATCTTCAGTTTCAAACCTAAGGCCAGCCAGACACACGACACCTTACGGCATCCAGTGTCAAGCGTAGCACCTGGGGAGAACAGGCTGCGGGACCCCGAAGGATGGGTTCTGCCAGCGCCTCGCAGCTCCCCTGCAGTTTCTAGGCAGATGCGTACCTGTCTCTCCATCCGATTCAAATATTCTCATCACTACTTGTTTCACCTGTCTGCCCCAGCTCGCCGTATGGCGGCAGCAGCTACGAGTTCTGGCACGTGGGTGCAGGCTCTGCTGGGTGCAGCCCTGTGGAGACACAGCACTTGCTCCGAGGAGCTCATGGTCTACACAAAGGGGAGAAAGTCTTCGGTGCAGCAGTTTGGAAAAGCAGGTCATGCTGCAAACAGGGGTAAAAGATCTTGAATGATATTTCTGGACACGTTAGTTGGGAAGGCTGCCACTTTCTATTCCCAGTTTGATTTGGGCATCTGACACAGCACATCTCAGAAAAAGGCTGACCAAAGCCCAGTTACGTCGTCATCAGAAAACCACACTGACTGATTCTGTTTGTTTATAACTGGTAAGGGAAGGGACACGGTTTCAAGCCCACAGGTTATATTCGGGTTGGAGCTCTAGATTTTTCTGAAATGTAGTAAGGGCAGAGGGCAGCTAAAAGATAAGCTCACGCATGGGACCGAGCGTGCGAACGGGAGATCCCGTACTCTTCCGCTGCAGAGGGCACGCTCCAACGCTCCTGGCCTTGCACCTCTGCAAGCGCCAGGAAATCGGCCTCTGCTTCAAAGGAGCTGCCTCAAAGCCATCCGCAGCAGCGGAGATGTGCACAAACAAGAATAAACGAGACACCGGAGCAGCTATCAACAGCACATCCCAGGCAAGGTGCTCTCATGTCTACAGCACAAGAGAATTTGCAGGAAGTCTTAGAGAAAGAGAGCATGATGGATTTTGCCGGTTAGCAAAGCAAAGGTCTACAGCTACAAGGAGCAAAAAGCCAAGAGCAATAGTGGCAAGAGCTTGAATAAAAGTGGCAAAGTTTCCCAAAGGCTGGGAAGCTGCCAGGATACTGGCACAGTCAGGAGGTTGATATATAGCTTCCGACACTTAGTGTCTAAGAGAGGAGGAATTTTCTCCAAAGTTTTCCAATTTGGAAACAAAAGGGAGAACACAGTAGTTCCTTTAACTTAGGAAAACTATCCTGGAGGGAGCCTGTCACATTACTGAAAGGACAGCACTAAAACTGTAAGAAAGCACTGTTAACTAACAGCAGTTTTTCAGAGGAGCACAAGATTTTTCTGCTGCTCAGAATCTAGATGCTATTCTGGAGCAGGGCCCAAAGGAGAAACTCAAAATGCAGCGCTCTGTCTCATGTCCGAGGGAACGTACTCTACGATCCAATTGAGCTGCTCTAGTTTCAAGTCTGCATCAAACACGCAAGCAGGAGCCACGCTATTTTTGGAACTGACTCGAAGGCAACACGGCCTGGAAGAACTCCATTGGGAAAGCCAGTGTCATATTTAAACAAATCTGACAAACCTCAGAAAGTGTGACCTCCCGCATTAAAGCTGAGGCAGATCTAGAGCTAGAATGGCCTTGTCCTCTATAACCCATCTTCTCAGCCCTTCTCTAGAAACTAATACTGAATATAGCCTGTGACAGACCTTTTCGGTAGCAGTCTGGGAAAGTCTGCCGTTCGTTCCCCTCTCTCCCACCATTTCATAAAAACAGAATACCAGGAGCAAGACGACATGCAGTGCCTCTTGGCATTGACATACATCCCATCCTTTTGATACGTGATGTGTTTCTCTTCAGAGCTCTTTACTACGGCATGAAAGGTTTTTACAGCCTGAAGGAAAAGGACGTGTGCCCCATCAAAGCCCTGAGAGCAGCACCTACCTGGGCTCCTCTAGAGTAGGATCTGAAAATGGTGCAAAATCTTCCTTGCCCTGATGTGTCCCTGCAACAAAGAAGAGTAAAGTTACAGCTATGAAATTTGGGGAATCAAATACCATACTGCACATCTCCTGTTGGACTTAAAAAAAAAAAAAAAAAAATCAGCGTTGATCTTTAGAACAGGCGTGGTACCCAAACTGCTCCGCATGGTGTTTTTGGGAAGAATCGGTGTGTGCATCACCACCTTTGGTTACAGTCAGACACGCTCCAGAGGAGAACAGTGGACCGATCGGAAAATGAACATAACCGCTCAAGAGAGGAGAAATCGTCTTGCACTGTCTAGTTTCACTTATTTTTCCAAACACGCTTTAACCAAAAAATGAAAGTAAGTATCTTTATTCCCAGATCTCTGACAGACAGACCGACCGACCTGGTTGATCATACCCTACAGAGAGCTGAGGAACAGGACCAGGGAACGGCATTTCTGGCCCACTGCGACAACAAGGGGCTATTCAGTCACTACCGTTTGTCCTCACTGCAACCCTTGACATGGTGTAAATAAGTCTGACGACATTACCAGCACCTCTCGGTGCCTGTGGGAACACCTGGGACAGTAAGCCAGAGCCCAGCACGCTGATTTAACCAGCACATACTGAAATGCGTCAGGGTAATCAGAGACACGATATGATGCTTGTCACATCCATTCACTGGGCCAGGATAAAAGACGTATTAATGACCGGTGAGAAGGCTGATGAATCCCTCAGCCCCAGGTTTGCACCAGCTAGATGAAAAAGGCAGTGACCTCCCGTTCAGGACAGTCGTTCTTTCAGCTCTAAAGCTTTCAAGAATCATATTATTGGGCACGGATGTCAATCTCACAGTCTGTGCTTAAATCTCCTTCTCCCCCGACAATCAAATATTGGGTTGTATGAGAAAAGTAATGGTAAAAGATTACATCAAGGCATCATAAACCAAGGCTATCGGCTGTTCAGGTTCTGTGCTGGCTCTCCAGCTCAAGACTTACAGCATAAAAAGAGGGTTTCAAGAGGGAAGCAATACGTAACTGCACGCTTGGGGCTGAAATGTTAAAACAGCCATCTTACAAGAGAGACAAAAGAACATAAGCAGCACACATAAACATACAAGCTAGAAGAGATAAATTAGCTGCTTCTGTTCTTTTGTGAGAAAAATGAGGACATTCAGCTCCAGAGAGCAGGGGTGCAATTAAACCATGAAACCATACGCTGCTGGAGTCAGTCACTGAGGCTGAGAAAATGGCATTCATCCCTATTTAACAATTGACACAGACTACTAAAGTTCCTGCTACTTGATACAAGCGCTGGTAAAGCGGCTATTTAACTTTGTGTTCTAGGGCCTGTGTCATTCCCTACTAGATCCGGGTGAAACCCGGAATGGGGGCAGGCTACTCATCCTTCCCCTTTCATCTAGGGGATTGCTGCGGCAGCTTCTCAGCAGGTTAAACCTCAGGCAGAGCTCGGCCAGAAGGACTCCAGGTCTCCCTGCAGTGCTGACAGATAAGGCAGGGGTCACCCCTCCCATGCAGCGTTCTCCCATCTTGGGTCACTCCAGTGAGTCCTGCTCTCCCGGGGATTACTGTACTCTGACACTGTCAGGTCTATTCACTGCTCTTCTTTTGATTTTCTACTCAAGTCACTGAGAAATATCCAGTTTCTGTAGGGACTAAGAGCTTCACCCATTTTTTTCCTCCTCCTTTCCTTTTCTTTTGGCTGTATTTCTCATCCTAGGATTTCAGGAAAATCCAGTATTACTTCCAGGATAATACTGTTCCCTCAGTGACTGAGAGCTGTATGGGAACACGGTCAGGTATGATGCAGAAAGACTGAAATCGGACTATTCCAGCAAAGAACAGCATGCTGTTTGTGCTGCTCGATTAACAGAAAGGGGTCTGGTTTGCTAGAATAACTCACTGGTGAGAACAGCTAGCAAGTCTCCCCACACGCCTGGGATGCTCTGAGCTCTCCGCAGCTCGGTACAGCATCCCCCTATCGCCCCGTCACCGGTCCTGCGCTCGCAGCCGAAGCGGCTCAGAAACACTCACCAGAGCTCCAGCTTGACCCTTCTGCCGTCCAACAAGATAGTAGTGGTCTTGTAGTCAATTCCTGAAAGAAAACCAATAAAAGGCTGAGCAAACACCGAGCAGGTCTTCAGAGACAGACAAGAAATCTGCTCTGCCCACCCAGATCCATCACTTCACATTTACAGAAAGCGATGTTTTCTCCCCCTTGCTGTATCACGTGTTTGTGGAGGGCTACAGAGACTCGATAGAAATAGACCTCTGCTTCAAGGCAAAGCCCGCTCTCGTGCAGCTCTCTCCCTCCTCCCTAAAAATATAGTTAACCCCTAGATTGCTTCTTGCTTCTCCGTGGTTGGATAGAACCTGTTAGGACGCAAGCCGTAGGAGATTCAGCGGCCTGTAGCATTACCCCAAGTGACTTTGGGGGGTGAGCCAGAGAGACGAACAATTTAGAAGCATCACTGCTAAGCCAGCCTGCAGACCCACCATCTCTGAACAAACACCACTGCCCGAAGCATTCGAAGGACATTTTGGGAGGCGGGCGATACTGCGAGCCTGTCCAGAGAATGCTGTTTCTTCTTCCGAGCAGCTCCCAGGTGCGCACCATACAGGGTCGGGTAAGGCAGAAAGCATTCCCCCTTTACCAACAGCTGAGAGCAGCACGGGCAACTGCTTTGCATAGAGCCGTGGTACCAGAGCAGCAGCAGACCCTCAAAGCCACAACAGCAGGCTGTGCTGACAAGCGACTCGCTCGCACGAGGGGTGCCCAGCATCTTCAGACACGCAAAGGGTTTGTTAAAAACTGGGAGCCCGTCTCTCACGTTCAGGCAGAGAAGTTTAAAAATGGGCAACTCCATTCGCAAGCAACACGTCCAAACCGAGCCGAGCACGCTGCTCCCCACGGCCCCGGGCACAGGAGGGAAGAGGCAGGGCTGCACCTCCCACCTCCTTCCCCAAAGCCTGGGCTCGGGAACCGCCACCGGGCGCCCAGGAAAAGCAGCTTCTCCACAAGCTCCAGTTATTAACCTTCAAGTGTATTGAAGTTGCTTAAACAAAGCACCGCGCACCTTTACTGCGCACCCACTAAAGCATAAACCAATTTACAATCGTCTTTAATAAAGCAGAGTCGCTTCACTCTGATTTGATCAACTTCATTTTTCCCTCTCACCAGCAGGTACCCCTATCAAAACCCCACCGTTGCGTTACGACCTCCATTTCCCTTTTCCTGCACAGAGCACGCTGCCCTGATAACCAGACAAGGTTGTCAATAAAGCAAATGGATTTGTCTGAGTCATCAGCAGGAGCTCCCTGTTAGTGAAAAACAAATTATATTTCAGCCTTCACAGGGTGCTATAAAAGGCAATAAAGATAATTATCTTAAATTCCAACTATTTCCAGGGCTTTATCATAGAAAATAGACAGTTTACGTTTTATCTTCCTCCAGAGACAAGTGAATGATCTGTGTTTATTTTCAGGCGGATACGAATCTCCCTTGTCCCCAGGGATGGCGAGCAGCAGCAGGAGCAAGCCTGCTCCGCAACCGGGAGGGAGCATCCAGACATCTCCCCCCCGTTCCTGAACCAGGATCAACCCCTGGCACAGGCTGACAGGCCCTTAGGGAGGGGGCTAATGGGGCCCACTGCCCTCTTTCAGGTGCAAAATCCCCAGAGACTCTGCTCCACGCAGACCTGCCCCACGTCTTGTTAGGCACAAGAGCTCCTGCAAGCAGGGAGTCCTCAGCACCCTCCGTGCCAGCAGCCCAGGCGCGCAGACGGAGCAGCTGCATGCAAGCACCAAGGAGGGGGAATGACGACACCGTTTTCGAGGCACAGAAGCCACCGTGCTTCCAAAAATGCTGCCATTGGGCGAAATAAATCACTCGACTATCAGCTCTTAAAAGTGAGAGAGGTTCAGCCGGACTGGAAAGAGAAGAAAACTCATTAGTGGAAACACCAAACACACCAACCCAGAAATGCCCTCGTTAGGCTCCCCGCTCAGGAACTGCCCAGCCTGCACCCCCAAGACAGGGAACGTGTTCCCTGTCACAGACATCCACGGCTCAGGCACCGGAGCAACGCTTTAAATACCCGTTCCCTCCATGCCCAGATGAAACTGCACTAAATGAGAGTAACGCCGGCCTGTGGGCAGAACACTATGGCCACGACCAAAGTGGGCAACCACCAGAAAACAGCACTGGAAAATTTCCTGAGCTCCTGCTGCAACTGCTCCTCGCTCCAAAGATGCTCAGGGAAAATAAACAGGCAAAGTATCATAGAATCATAGAATCGTTAAGGTTGGAAAAGACCCTTAAGATCCTCAGGTCCAACCGTTTACCTATCACTGCCAAGGCCACCACTAAACCATGTCCTCAAGCACCACATCTGTCCGTTCTTTAAATACTTCCAGGGATGGAGACTCAACCACTTCCCTGGGCAGCCTGGGCCAGGCCCTGACAGCCCTTTGGGGGAAGAAATGTTTCCTAGTATCCAACCCAAACCTCCCCTGGCGCAGCTTGAGGCCGTTCCCTCTCGTCCCATCGCTTGTTCCTGGGGAGAAGAGACCGACCCCC